ATTTATCAAGAGAGAAAGATGGCAGGAAACTGGTAAGGAAGTATAAACAAACTAATTTAGTCATGAACCTAAAGATTTGAATTTTAGTTATTCCGTACCTGTATTTTTTTTGGTTTTTAAAAAATAGTGCATCTATGCAAGAGAAAGGATACACTAAGATAACCTGTAATATAGAATAAAATAGATTGTTGTTGCTAGAAGCAGAGCAGATCTGCAATCTGCTTACAAAGATCAATACTGTAGCTTCAGACAGCATAGTTGAGATGGGCTTTCAACTTCTAATTCATAGTCAAGAGATATTCATTTGAAACTAAAAGTCAGGACAAAACATCTACAGTCTGCAGTTACCAATTCAAAATGCACTAATGTTACCTAAATAGTAAATACCCAGAAGTACCTGAAAAGGACTATGCTAGAGCTAGACACCACGGATTCTGGTTTGCATATGACAAGAAAAAAAATCAGGAGCTTCCCATCCTAAATGATTATGAGTAATCGGCAGTTGATAGTGCATGAGGAAAGACATATCTATGAGCTTCTTGTGAACTATGATTATGGCTAAATCTAGTCATTCTCATCACAAAGACTTTATACTGTATGAGAAGTTGATCATTAAATGAGTATTATTATGAATCAACAACGAGCTAGTCGGTCATACCAGTGAGTTATCCAGCATGGCGACGAGGATAAACTTGCCATTGGGCGAGAACATGGAGAAGGACACCGCGGGCTTCTTTTCATCGATGACCGTCTTGAGGCAAGCCCCGGTCTTGGCGTCCCAAATCTTGCAGCTCCCATCATGGCTTCCTGATACAACGATGGATCCGTCCCTAATGAAATGCACGGAGGTGACGGGCTCTGAGTGCGCTTCGATGGCGCGGGTGCATCGGCCGTTCTTGACGTCCCAAATGCGCACGGTACAGTCAAATCCCCCGGAGGCGATCTGCGAACTGGTCTGCGGGTTGAAGTTGGCGCTGAAGACGAAGTTGGTGTGCCCCTTGAGCACGCGGATGCAGCGGTCTGCGCCGGGGTCGGCGGCGGCGGCCTGGGCGCCGCCGGCGAGGACGGGCCGGATGTCCCAGATGCGGATGGTACGGTCGTCGGAGGCGGAGCAGAGGTAGTACGACTCCGTGGACCAGGACAGATCGGAGACGCCGTCGGAGTGGCCGCGCAGGACGGCGATTACGGCGAGCGAGGACGGGGAGAGCAGCGCGACCGTTCCGTCGAGGGACGCTGTCGCGAGGAGGCGCCCGCAGGGGGAGAACCGCACGCAGGAGACCGCCCGGCTGTGGGGCGTCGCCTCCCGCACTTGCCTATACGGCCGATACGGCGGCGGCGGCGGCGGCGCCGTCTGCTGCGACATGGTCGGTAACGGCAACGCCCCTCTTCACGCGATGGGAAAGTGAATCGGGCCGGATTCTCTGCGGCGCTTATTTGCTAGTAGTACTACTAGCACACAACAGGACTCCAGGAGAAAGTCGGAGTCCTCTTCTATTTGGGGGAACGGTCAAATACACGGACACGGCCGGTATCCGCAACACCAGCACGACGCACCGCCTCTCGGAGAATCGAAGCCGAGCCGGGCCGGGCGGCGGGCGTAATGGATCTGCTGAAGCGGGAACTGGAGAAGAAGCGGAAGGCGGCGACGGCCGACTTCGGGGGCAAGAGCTTCGTACGGCGGTCGGAGCTGGAGCAGAAGCAGCTCCAGAAGCGCCGCGACGAGCACCGCCAGCTCCTCGCCAAGGCCAGCGCATCGGCGCCCTCCGCGGATTCCGCCGCAGCCGCCACCGGTTCCGACCCCAGCAACCCCGACGCCGCAGCTCAGGCGGCGGTGGCGAACCCTAACCCTAGCTCCTCCTCCTCCTCCGCCTCCTCGGCGCCCTCCGTCCCGCCCGCCATCGCGCCGAAGAAGACTACGCAGGAGGAGGCGCTGCTCTCTGAGGAGCGTCGCATCGACGAGCTCGACCTCCCGCGGCACGAGGTGGTGCGGCGCCTCCGCGTGCTGCGCGAGCCCGTCACGCTGTTCGGGGAGGACGACGACGCCCGCCTCGCGCGCTTCAAGCTCTTGCTCAAGTCCGGCGTCATCGACGACATTGACGACATCGACATGACCGAGGGACAGACCAACGACTTCCTCCGCGACATGATCGAGATGCGCAAGCGGCAGAAGGCCGGGAGGGACACCTACGCCAAGGGCAAGGGCAAGCGTGTAGGTGGGGGTGATGGTGGCGATGGCGGTGCTGCTGGAGGCAGTGCAGATGATGGGGATGCCAAGGGGAGCGGTGATGATGCTGATGCCGACAAGGACTCCAAGAGGATGAGGACCAAGTTTGAGGAGCTTTGCAATGAAGACAAGATTTTGGTGTTCTTTAAGAAGCTGCTTAACGAGTGGAACCAGGAGCTGGATGAGATGACTGAGCTGGAGAAGCGGACAGCAAAGGGGAAGTCCATGGTTGCAACATTCAAGCAGTGCGCGCGGTATCTCACCCCCCTGTTTGAGTTCTGCAGGAAGAAGGTATGAATTCTAATGCAATTTCCATCTGTTGGTTGCTTAAATTGTGCTATTAATTTGATTGCACTTCAAATCGACACAATTATGCAAAGCTCTAATTGATAAACTGAGTGGGTAGTATACAAATTTAGCTAGTTGCAGTAATGTGTACCTGGAAAATTTAGGATTATGGACAACTAGCTGATGTGATGACTAAGTTATGCGATTTTAGGGCTCATAGGCGGATTACAAAGAATGCACAGTAAAGTTTAACCCTCAGCATAGTTTTCTGTTGGTTTGAAAACTGTTGCTTAAATCGTTTTGTTTGTTGCGCTTTTCAAAAACATCAAAATGTCATGCTTGTTTTGGTAACATGCTTCAGAGTTCAGATTGAATAGCAACCTAGCTTCGAGATGTTGAAGGGAACTAAGATGGTGACCCTGAAACATTGCCATAATTTTGTTGAACAAAATTACCTGCTGTCACTTGTTGAATGTATGTAATGATTACTTTTTTTGACAGAGAATGAATATTCAACTTGTATTTCTGCAGTAACATGGAATTCACGTTTTGTAACTGCAGTTTGTGACAAGAAGGTGTCATATAGGACCTGTTTGTATTTGCATGATTTCAACAAACATTCGAACTCAATCTATTTCACTAGTATTTTGTTAGTATTTGAAGGTTATGACATGGAACTAGTTATGTTATTTATATTCTGATTCTGATAGGTTGTATAGACTAAAAACCATGTTTCTGTAGTTCTTAAACCAGCAGTGTGGCAACAAACAATCTAACTCTTTTGCAAGAGCTAATTAGTAATGGATTATCTACACCATGGCAAACATTTACATGGGAGACATGTAATGTGTTCCAATCCGTTTGAGCAGTTTCTGTTTGGCCTTTCCCTCAATTCTGTGCGTTAACTTTATAGTGAATATCATGGTTTCTTAAAAAACATTTCATTCTACATTTGATGTTAAGTTGTCTGCTATCCATTGTATATTGAGTAAGTAAAATAAAACTACTTCTTAGAGTGTCTACTCAGTTCATTTTGGATCATGCATGCAAGGAGTACCTAGAGACAGATAATTTATGTGCCCCAAATATTTGGGTTAATCATTTTCTGGTTGTCAAATATACTTTATGATGAAAAGAAATTCTTTGAGTACTTTGGGATGCAGGGGAATTGATTGTATTGTGCGAATTTCCAGTCCTACTCAGTTTTGGTGTTCGTTGTTTTGCATTTGTTCTGTACTAGTGCAGATTCTAATTTTGGCATACTATAGCCCCAAATTTGTTTTTAAATGGAATTACCTGGGGTGTACGATTGCAATTCAGTTGAGCAATCAACTGAATTCTGGTTCCTGGCTGAGATTCAGATTTGATATAACTAGTATTTGCCTCATGATAGGCATAGTTTGACCTTCTTGGAAATATCAACCCACTATCTGCTTGAGCGGAATACTAATGCCCATCTGAATATTGATTATGTTTATACCATTTACTACTAATGTTATTACAGCCTTTCATCAAGTTTCTTGGTGCTTCACTGATTCTGATGCAATTTATTGTTGGATTAATTTAGGTTCTTCCTGATGACATCCGTCAAGCATTGCTTGTTATTGTTGAGTGTTGCATGAAGCGTGATTATTTAGCAGCAATGGACCAATACATCAAGCTGGCAATTGGGAATGCACCTTGGCCCATTGGAGTCACTATGGTTGGTATCCATGAGCGTTCTGCCCGAGAAAAGATCTACACAAACAGTGTTGCCCACATCATGAATGATGAGACCACTCGCAAGTACCTTCAATCAATCAAGAGGCTCATGACACTTTGCCAGCGGCGTTACCCTGCGCTGCCCTCAAAATCAGTAGAATTCAACAGCCTGGCAAATGGGAGTGACCTGCAGGCGCTTTTATCAGAAGAGAATGGTTTGGGTAAAGCTTCCGAGGAAAGGCTCCGGTTGATGCCAGCATCAAAAGAGTGATGCCTTCATAGACTAGATTGGATTACACTCTACAAATAGAGCTTGATATGTTTGTGTAATACTGTAATATCAACAATCAGTCCTGCCTATTTTTTCCCTGTTTTGTGCTGAAGAGAAAAGCAACAGAATTGTGTATGCTAATCAAATCGCTTTACCACTTGATCTGGTTGGGCAAGTTTTACTAATACATCTGCTACATCCAAAGAACCATTTTTGACTACTTGTTCTCAAGCAGCAGTGACATTGATGACTGTATTAATCAGGTTTGGTATTATCCTAGTTCTGTCAGTACTGCAATTGATAAGATCTGCAAACCATCGATTGTAAGTTCAGGCACCACGTGCCTAAAGTTTTAGGTTTATGTACAACATTGAAATCCATGGATTTAACTCATCTGAAGCCTGAGCCTGCCTACATCACTGCGGCACTGCCTTATTCAGGTCGCAATTAATCTGTTTCCCACTTTCCCCTCTTTGCAGCATGCAAATCTGGAAATTGCGTGCAACAGCAGATCCATCACTCTCCCTTCTTCTGGATCCTAGGTAAGTGAGCCCACTGCATTGAAGCAACCCATATGATAGCTTGCTAACAATATGAAGAAGTTTTGAACTTTTGATGGAAAATGGTTTGATGAACAAATAATCCAGAAACTAGTTGAGGCAGATTGGAACAGTTTGGAGTTTGCAGTCTGCTGAAGAATGCTTACATTTTTTGAAGCGGCGCTGAAGGCCTCCTTGTGGGTGATGCTGGGATGTCTCTCCTTAATCCTCTGTATCTCCTCCCTGAGAAACAGATTGAACGCATTTTAAAGATCTCATCGCCTCTACAAGAGTAGCAGCTGAAAACATGCTGAAACTTCAATCACAATATAACCAGTTGTTGGTTTATAGCCAACAACACTGACAAGTCCAGTGAGATAATATTAATTTCTTATGCATTTGACCTGTATGAGTATATCGGACAGCACGATCTGTATGTCTCGTAAACTGTTTTACACAATGGACATATCAGAGTGGAGTAGCATCACGAGCGACTTACTTGATGAAGCAATTGTAGGCTGACGGCGTCCGTTGCTTCCTAACTGGAGCTGCAAAATGTTTCAAAAGCTTGCTGAGTATATGAGAAGGACCACTGTATATAGAGAGCCACTGTTGAAACTGCGCACGATCACCTACGTTTGTTAACCGCAGGGAAGGCATGGTGCTCAGCAACAGTAGCCTCCGTCTCCCTGTCCTCTCCGCTGCTCTCGTCAGAGTCCCTGGGCGGCGGATCAACGTCGGCCTCCTGTTTCACCGGACGGACACGTCGTTTGGCCAATGTGCGCGTTAATGCAAAGGGAAAGAAGACACACGGTGGGAAACCTGCAGGGGCAGCTCGACGGACGCCAGCGCCGGGGGCGGCAGCGCGACGGAGAGGATGCCGCAGCAGCTGCCGCACTGCACGGCCACCGTCTTCAGCAGCTGCAGGCTTCCGCCGCACGGCACGCCCACCTGCATGCGTAGGCCGTAGTAGGTACGCAATCGTGCACGCCGTACGTGAGACCGTGTGGGCATTGGCAGTTTCCGGAGCATGCAGGGGGACAGGTCGTTGTTACCAGCAGGATGGTGGCGCAGAAGTTGCACTGCACGTAGCCGAGGCGCTCCGGTAGGGCGCCGAAGCAAGGGTGGCGTGGTGACGACGACATGGCCGTCCGCCGTTGAGCTCCCACAGTGTGAAGCAGCAGCAGCAAGAGTGGGTGGGTGGCGGCAGTGCAGGACTGTCCTGCTGTCACCATTGGGGTCTCAATTTGTAGGCGCCAACGACGATAAACTCGGCCTGTAATGTGTAATTCAGCATTACGTTGGCAAAATCGGGCAAGTTACGTGGACATGTGCTTGCAGCATGTGAGTGGCAGCAGTGCTTTCAATCAATGAAGTGATCGAAACTGGTTGTCAACACTCAACAGTTCTCATGCATGCAAGAGCCCCGGACAGGCAGGGGCAGCCATGCCCATCTCTGCGTATTTTGGTACAGGGCCACCTGTTCCTAGAGGCCACAAGAGGGCCTCAGCCTTTCAGGGAAAGCTTTATCTGGCGAACCAGGAGCTAGGGCTCCATCAAATTCCCAACTTTCACGCTATGTAAAAAAAAATTCACCATCACATCAAACTTGCGGTACATGCATGGAGTACTAAATGTTGATGAAATCAAAAACTAATTACACAGTTTGATTGTACTTTACGAGACGAACGTTTTGAGCCTAATTAGTCAACGATTGGACAATTATTATCAAGTAAAAGCAAACGTCACTGTAGCTGCCGAACTAACCACGGCCTAGGCATGTGAAAATCGGTGCCTTATCGCAGTCGCAATCGTCGGTCTCAGTCGCAATCGATCTGCAGGCTGCTGCAGGCAAGGCAAGCTTCTGATCAGAAACTCATGCTGCTGCAAGAGGCACTGCCTGCCTGCCATAAAGGTCGTGGCGAAAACGACACGGTTTGCTTCATGGTGCAGGTTTGGTAAAAACAGTTGGTTGCTCCTTCAGATTTCAAGTGCCTTGCAGAGGCTCCTCGGTTACGTGGTTTCAGCGCCTTGCCACTCTCAAGATTCGTCCGATCCGGGCAAGCCTATTGAATTCGAGATTCCGCGACAGAACGACACGTTCTAATCCCTATATGTGTATTGCTGCACTCGCTCTAAACGTAGGAGTTGCCGAGTTGGAGTGTTGGAGATAGCACTCTCCAATTGGGTCTGAGTAGAGCTCAGACTTTGGCACGGTCTAAAGTGTGGCACAGCAAGATAAATTTTCGGCACAAAGGCCGTGCCGTGTCGAGAATTGGCACGATGTATTCCATGACATGACACGTTAGGTGCACTTGGCCTGGCAATGGCATGGCCCGAAAGTGTGGCTCATCTATTACATTTTATACGGTCTAGCATGACAACCACTATTTAGGAAACACGAAATCTGTCTCTTTTTTCATGCGTGGAATGTGTAGCTGTTTGTTAGTTATGAAAAGATTAACGCTAGTAAATTATTCTTGTCTACAACATTCTCTTGAATAGTCATGAAGTCCTCGATGCAATAAAAACTATGCAAATCGATGAGTAGCTGAATAAGACTAGTATTATACTATCAAGGGCGGGAGCCTCAACCTCATGGAGGCCAAACTAGGCTCCTGCCACGCCTTTCTCCGTGAAGTTCTACTGTCCAGTCTATGTTTGCATACATGTTTGCAGGGACATCTGCATGATACCATACAAAAACTATTTTTTTACCAAAAACTATCATTTGCCTCTCCAAATTAACCTTCAGTTCTATTCTTAATCTCTGTTACTTCTAGTTGCTTGTATTAATAGATACTCCGTATTAAGCTTTAATTAGTGATTACTGTCGATGCGGGACCCACAGGATACCCCGCAAGGGAGAGAGAAGATCTAGTTCAACTAGGATTCTTCCCATGTAATTTTAGTAGTAGAACTATTAAGTAATCCTACTAGGAAATCTCATTGTAAACCGACTAGGACTCTGGCCTCCTGACTATATAAAGGAGGGCAGGGCTCTTGAGAGAAGAGGACGACAATGGTACAACATAACACTTCATAATCAATCCAACGCAAAGGCCAACGCCGATTGGACGTAGGGTCGTTACTCGATCTACGATCGAGGGCCTAAATCAGGATAAATCGACTGTCTCTTGCGTTTACCATCGGGTTCAGCATACGCCGAAGCCCGAACATACTGCCCCGGGTACCCCCGTGGCAGGCTATCGGTGGTGAAACATCGACAGCTGGCGCGCCAGGTAGGGGCTTTCGGCGACTTTGCATCCGAGAGCTCGATGGACCTCGATAACATGATCTTTCCAACGGGATTAACTTTCATCTTCGGCTCATGGATCTGCGAGGCGGACAACTACGGCAGGCTTCAAAGCCACCTCCTCAAAGATCCGGATCATCATGAAGAATTTCCTATTTCGACAACTACGACGGATCAGCTCACCAAAAGATCCACGCAGCTCATAATACCCGATTCGAATAAGATTTCACGGCTACGCGCATCCGACTCGAATTCAAGCTCCGTGTCCGAGACGAAGTCTTATTCGAGTGCTTTCAAGAAACCGAGTTCTTTTTTGGCAGGATTCCAGAGCACAACCCAAAACAACTCGGATTATCCTCGGAGTTCTTTCAAAAGGCCGAGTTCTTTTCCATTTGGGCTCGACAACACGACAAAATCCTATCAGGGACAGTTCGAAAGGTCTTTCAATCCAACGCTTGGGATACCACTGACAGGAGCTCAGGAGGGTCTCATGCTAACGATAACATCGCAAGACTGTATCATCCACTGGCCAGGTTCCGTTCCTGAGGATAGCGGAACCCAACTAGTTGGCACAACAACAACAGCTATTCTACCTTACCAAGAAGGAGACTCGATCTGCGACGTCGAGGCGCCTACTGAAGTCATCAGCAACTCCGACAGTATGAAAACTAACACCAATAACGGAACGGCTCACGCACGGGAGGTGCTCATGGTTCGACGTCCTCGGTCACCATTAAATCCCCCAGAAGCACCCGATGTCAGGTCATCGATGAATCGAGTCCAACATATCACCCTTTGCCTGTGGCTACGATGGAGAAACCGAGAGCCGAGACAAAGCTAGAGAAAGGAAAAACAAGTTAAAACAAGGGCGCCAACACCGCTTAGGCGCAAATAGAGAGAAGCTCGGACCATATATGAGTCAGAGTTGGCTGAATACGATAAAAGAAAATCACAACAAGAAGCCGAAGAAAGACGCACGGTGAATACGCCTTACGATAAGATTCGAGAAGCATTAGAAGAACTCAGGGCAACTTCACATTACGGAGAGAAGTACGAACAGCTCCAGGATTTGCTCCGGTCGACGATCCCAAGAACGCATGAAGAGAGAGCCCGATCGAGACTACCCGCCAGATCAACAACCCGCAGGCAAGAAGATCAAAATCAAAGGAAGTCCGCTTTTGAAAGACTTGGGCCAGGTGGAAGCCATAACGGAGAAAGTAGGAAGGAACATAGTCGGGGCCACCAATTTGAACAACCAAGGAAGACCAGGAGTAGAGTGCCTACCCAGACAGCCTCGTAGACTTATTCCCATCAAAACAACACTTGGCCAGAAGAAGGAGCCGAATCCGAATTCAAGGAAGCCGGAACGCACGACACATTCCCCTGTTTTGCAAACAGGTTGGCATCTACGATTACCTCCCAAATTCAAACCCTTCTAACCACTCCAAGTATGATGGCAAAACCGAACCAAGACAATGGCTCGAAATATATTCACAATCAATTGAACTAGCCGGAGGAGACGATGATATCAAAACCTTGTTCTTTCCCATGGCCTTCGAAGCGATGCCCTCCAATGGTTCGATAAATTGAACCCGTGGTCGATCGAACTTGGGAAGACTTGCAAAGAGCTTTCAGAAAATTTCGCGGTATCATCACACACCCGATCACTCATGCGAACTCGAAAGGACTCAAGCAAAAGGGGCGAAAGTCTCGAAATTACTATCGACGATTCGCTAACTACGGGCTCAAGTGCATGACATCACCGAACGAGAAGTAATTGAAGCTTTCTCTCACGGAATCATGGCTAGGTGGCAATTTCAAGACTTCGCAAAGAAAATCCGAGAAACAATGAAGAGTTCGAGATTTAACAAGAGAAAAAATGATTACTGCAGAAGAAAAAACACGAGAAAGGTTCCCGGATAGAAGCAACCAGACAACCCGGATAGGCAAAATCATCGAAATAGCGTACATCAAGAAAGAAAACGTGGACCGACAATACCGTGGCAATGGCCGACAAATCAAAGAAGTTTTCCAAACCCGAAGATATGATGACATTGAAAACATGCGTTGCCCATTGCACCCTAACGGGAGACACACCATCGGAAACTGCTACACTTTCAATGATCGATACACAAGAAAAGATAGTAAGGAGAACACCAAAGAGGACAATCGGAAGAAAGATGAAGACAACCACGAGGACAAAGGATTTCAAAACCTAGGGGAACGGTAGCGATGATCTTCTCGGGGGCTCCAGATTGCGTAGCAAACATCAAGAAAAACTAGCACTACGGACTATCATGACGGCAGAACCGACTACACCAAGATATCTCAATTGGTCACAATATCCAATCCAATTTTCAAGAGAAGACCAATGGACTATCGTGGGGAACGCAGCCATTACCCACTAGTTTTAGACCCAACTATTGCCGGTATGATCTGTCACCAAAGTACTAATCGACGGGAGCCGGACTCAACATCATCTTTTCGTAAACACTAAGGAAGATGGGACTACAACTCACGGGGATGATTACACCAACAAGCACTCCTTTTTACGGAATAGTACCGCAAAAGCAGCCATGCCACTCGGACAAGTTACTTTACCCGTCACTTTTGGAACTCCTTGAACTACCGAACGAGTTTATCAAATTTGAGGTCGCAGACTTCGATTCATCATATCATCATGCGATCCTCGGACGCCCAAAGACTGCAAAATTCATGGCAATACCACATTATCCGTACTTATTGCTTAAGATACCAGACCCAACGGTATCCTTTCTCTTGAAGCGATTTGAAGCGTGCTTTTGATCTGCGATGTTCAGTAATCCAAATTGCGGCCAAAGCACAAGCCGACAATGGAAGAAAAGAAATAGCCACAATTGTTTGCGAGAT